CCGGGCTCAGCACCCAGAGCCCCCCGCCCGGCAGCGTCGTCAGCCACGCGGACACCGTGGTCAGCCTCGTCAACATGGGTGAGCGCCGCGCCGGGACGTACGGGGGCACCGGGATGCACCGGGGACACCGGGAACATCGGGGCGTACGGGGGGACCGGGAACACCGGGACGTGCGGGGGCACCGGGATGCACCAGGGACACCAGGACGTGCGGGAGCAGGGCCAGTACGGGGTCACTGGGAGGACCGGGGCTTGTGGACAGCATCTAGGCGGCTTTGGCAGCACCGGGAGGACAGGGGGTACCGGGACGTGCGGGCAGGATCCAGGCGGCTTGGGCGCGGGGGACCGGAGCAGAGCAGGGCGCACGGGCAGGAGCGGGACAGCGCAGAGCTGGGGAGGTACCGAGGGGGCACCGGGGAGCACGGGGCTTAGCTGACCCCGACCCAAACCCCCGACCCGTAACTGTGATACCGGCAGCTCCGAGCATCCCTCGGTCCTGGGGTGGTTTCTCAGGGCGCCCTTGTTGAGAAAAGCCTCTTTTTTTTCCCGAAGTTAGACTCAATAACGGTGGAGAGCGGCTGGGAGGGACACGGTGGCTGTGAGCCCTGGAAGGCGTTAACTTTCAACTCCACTTAAAAATGGGGAGATGGAGAAGGGGAAGGTCCTGCAGCAAGGGTGGGCTGAGGGGGGCTTGTCCACCCTGTGCCCCTCATTTCACTGGGCACATGAACTGGTTGGGGAGCGAGGCAAGACAGCAGTTCTCGTGCCAGTAGCAGGACGGACCGAGTTCCCCACTGTGGGACACTGAATCACGGTTCAAAATAAATCCTCAAGGTTGTGCTAATTATTGCTGGAATCCCATCTAGCTGGTTAATGGGTTCCAGCATCCATCCAGTTTCCAGGTGGTTGCATGAGCAGCAGCAGAGCTGTTTCCAGCATCAGCAGGGCCACGAGCACCCGGGACACGGTGGGTCCCCCCTGAGAGCAGGCTCTGAGTTGGCCTGAACCCTTCAGGATGAGCAGATCAGGCAGGTGGATGTTGAGCTCTTCCTCTGCCCTCTGCTTAGGATATCCCTGCCCAGGCCAGCTTGGAGTTCCATACAATCACTACTCTGACGGGGAGAATCCCTTCCTGGAGACCCGAGGCAGGGAGGAGGTTTGGATGAGGAAGGGCTGTGGAGCTCTTTTGTCTCCCAAATCCCCTCCATCCATTCCTGCATATTCTGTGTAAGGAGGCTCCGTGGGACAGACCCTGCTGGTCAGGCAGTGTTTGGGGTCCCCACAGTTGCAGGCACTCAGCACCCAGCTCCCATCTAGAGCTCTGGGGGAACTGTGGGAGCTCAGCATCCTGGGGAAGCTGAGACTGAGGTAGGCGGACACTGGAGCACCAAATTCCAGCTCCCCTCAACACTTGGGACAAAACAGGCTTTAAAATGGTTAGGTTTGATGGCAACCAGGGTGGGATGTTCAGAGGGCTGGGGAGATGCCCAGGAGGTGTTGGTGCTGGCAGAGGGTTCCTGTTACGGGGGGGGTGGCTCTTGGAGCAGCCAGGAGAGTTGGGGAACACAGTTCCAGCCTTCAATTTGAATGGCTTTGATTTCTGTGGCTTCGTCAGCCCCTTCATGTTAATTAAATAAGTTTTTGTGGGAGAAGGCTAGCTCTCATTTGCATGCATAATTCGCTGCACAATTATCCTGATGGGACATGCAAATGGAATAAGTCGGTGCTCCATTGGGCACTTGGACCTCTTTGCTCCCAGCCACCCCACGTAGGGCTGTGTGAGCGGGGCCGGAGCGCGGCTCCCAACGGCACACCTTTTTCCTGGGAAGGGGAAATGACAAACCTCCCTGGCACACAAACACACCCTGGGCTGGGTGGGCAGAGTGCCCTGCCTGCTGGGCAGGGGGATGGGGCATCGGGGGCCTCTGGGTGGTGGGTGGCTGCTGGGTTGGGTACCTTTGGTTGGGTTTGGTGATGGTGGATCCGCCCATCCCGTCCCGTTTGCTCCTCTTGGTGTGAGGATAAAGCCTGGCCTGTGCTATTTCTGAGCTCTTCCCGAAGGAGTCAGGTGGGTGGTTGTATTTTTAAGACTGGGATAAGGATGGGCTTTGGGATTTCTCCTCAGCCGTGAGTCATGGATATGGGCAGGGTATAATCATGGAGCAGAGTGGTTGGTAAGAGGCTCTCGGTGTGCCCGAGCCCCCCATGGCACCACAACATGCACGTCTTCCCTTTCCCTCCCAGCATCCATGGCTCCTGGCTTATGGAAAGGTGTCCTTGCCCACGGCAAGGGGTGGAACAAGGTGATCTTTAAGGTTCCTTCCAGCCCAAAGCATTCTGTGATTCTCTGTGGCTGGACTCCCCATGGCTGTTTCGGATGAAGCTCTGGGGACATCTTCCTGGCAAACCCAGAGAGCACTGGGGAGGAAGGCAGGACACCTTGGCAAAAACAGCTGCAGCACCCTGGGCACTGCAAGGAGCCATTAGTGTGGGGTGGGAGCTCACAGCAGCCACTTCAATTGAATTTTGGGAGTTGAGGTGCTGCTCCACTCTCCCCACTGGAAGATCATCACCCGCTGCCAGCCACTTACCCTCGCCCCCACACCATTACCACTGAAATCCAGCTGCTGTCAGCAGCTGGGTCAGGATTTTCCCCACTCCTGGCTTCATTTTGCAGCCATTTGAGCCTCCTCCTCTGGGCATCCATCTGAGGGATGCAGGGCAGTGTTTTCTGGCAGCTCATGCCAAGATGCTCTGTACACACCCTCCATGTGTGTTTTAATGGGGAAAGCTTTGCAA